TCTCAGTGCTGAATAGCAGAAACACAGAAATTACACCACCATCCTTAACCCTCACCCTTGGATGCTCACCAGCAAAGGACCTTAGGCTGGCCTACAGCCTCCCAAATCCTAAGACGTACTGGGAGGAGGCCTGGTCGATCCCTCTAGGACCCATCCTCTGCCCAGGCCCTCCTGAGGTCCTTAGAGCAATTTTCAGACACCAGCCCATTTGATCTTGGATACCTTTTACCATCCATCCAGGCTGGGGAAAAAAAGAAACAGCCCCCAAGAAGGAATGGGCCAGAAGACAAAGTCAGAAGTTTCTTCCCCCTTTCCCCACGCAGCCCTCCCCAAGCACCAGCAAACACCTGGGCTGCTTCCCCAGCCTCTACACCCAATGCCTATTCTGGGATTTGCATTTGCAATATTCACTGACACTCACAGGGACACAATCCAATGAGGAGGCCACTCCTCACTGACCGGCCCTTATCCATGATGGGGGCTCAACCAGACTTCCCTGGTTCTCCAAGAGTAAAGACAACAGGTTGCTCCCTGGGGATCTGCAGATCAAGACTCCAGGCTCCCAGCCCAAAGTCTGTCCTCTCACCTGGTCACCAGACTATGGGCCACCACATGGCTCCACTGATGCCCCACACATGCAGACCCTCAGACCTCATCTTCCCTGAGTACAGCCAAATACAGCAGGGACCTGGTGAGGAGCTGGGGCCTCAGGTTCATACCACTTCCTGCTTGTAGTCCTGGAGGCATGAGTTCAGGGGAAGAAATGTGAATCCCAGAAAATGGAAGAGACCCGAAAAGCCTGAAGAGCACCATGGGACAAGTATTCTAGCTCAAGGAATTAGGACAACAAGAGTGCATTAAAAATGAGTCACTGGGCAAAAGGAATGGACTTCCAGTTACAAAATAAATTAGTCTTGGGATGTAATGTAGAGCATGGTAATACAGTTCATGATACTGTGTAGTATGGGCTTCCCAGGAGGTGCTAATGGTCAAGAACCTGCCTGCCAATTCAGGAGACAAAAGAGATACAGGTTCAATCCCTGGTTTGGGAAGACCCCCTGGAGGAGGGAATGGCAATCTACTCCAGTATTCTTGCTATGGACAGGGAAGCATGGTGGGCTACAGTCCATGGGGTTGCAAAGAGTCAGACACAACTGAAGCAACTTAGCATGTACACACTGTGTTGTATATTTGAGAGTTGCTAAGAGAGTACAAACTGTGGAAAATTCTTCAAGAGATGGGAATACCAGACCACCTGACCTGCCTCCTGAGAAACCTGTATGCAGGTCAGGAAGCAACAGTTAGAACTGGACATGGAACAACAGACTGGTTCCAAATCGGGAAAAGAGTACATCTAGGCTGTATATTGTCACCCTGATTATTTAACCTATATGCAGAGTACATCATGAGAAATGCTGGGCTGGATGAAGCACAAGCTGGAATCAAGATTGCTGGGAGAAATAGCAATAACCTCAGATATGCAGATGATACCACACTTATGGCAGAAAGCGAAGAACTAAAGAACCTCTTGATGAAAGTGGAAGAGGAGAGTGAAAAAGTTGGGTTAAATCTCAACATTCAGAAAACTAAGATCATGGCATCTGGTCCCATCACTTCATGGCAAATAGATGGGGAAACAGTGGAAACAGTGGCTGACTTTATTTTTCTGGGCTCCAAANGAGCCTCCTCCTACCCCCATCCCACCCCTCTAGGTCATCACAGAGCGCTGAGCTGAGCTCCCTGTGTTATGCAGCAGCTTCCCACTAGCTACCTATTTTACACATGGCAGTGTATATATGTCAATGCTATAAGAGAATAGATCTTAAAAGTTCTGGTCATAAGGAAATATGTAACTATGTACAGTGATGGACTGTTAACTAGACTCTTGCAGTGATCATTTTGCAGTATATACAAATATTGAACCATTATGCTGTATGTCTGAAATTAATGTCATGTTACATGTCAATTTCACCTCCACTTTAAAATGAACCACTTTGCAAGCTCTTTGAGCTGTAACTATGACAAAACCTATAAGGGACCCAACCCTACAAAACATAAGTCCTAAAGTCAGCCTCCTGTGCCTTACACACCCCTCCTCCACTTTCCTGCAGCTGAAACATCACAGGACAGAGGTCATCTGAGATAGGGTTCCCTTTCTCAGGCCTCAAGGGAATCTGGGACTCAGAGCCAAAACAAAACAAAATTCTAGAATTTATCCCATCCCCATCCCTAATTGCCTCAAGGTAAGAAGGCAAAAGAGAAAAGAATGCAATGGCCTTGAGAATGAAGAGTGCGGGAAAAGCTGGGTTTGCAAACAGTGCCCGAGAGGGCTCCTCATCGGGAATGCTCAGGAGTCTGGCCTGGCTGACGGAGGGTGAAACCTGTGTGGTCTGGGCTGAGGCCAAAAGAACCATAGCCTAGCCCCAGAGCAAAGTAACTCAAGCATCGGCTGAATCAAAGGAAACTGATACTGTGCATTAAAAGCCAGTGTGGCCTTTTAGACTGGCTGGGGAGACAGCCTCAGCCCTGTGTGGAGTTTCTGGCCTCCTCCTTTCTGCTCTCAACCCTGAACTTGCCTCGAACTTGAAAAGGCTAATTAAAGCCCAAAGAAAAATCAAAAGCTTGTTATCTGGCTCCATTAGTCCCAGTACTGGCATTACCCTGTCTTGCAAAGCTGCCTTTCCTCTGTTCTCTCCAAGGCCGCCAGGCGGATGTTAGGACCTACAGCTCTGCAGACTCCCTGTGATGAACTCTGCTTTTTGTGCTATGGCAGGGAGCAAGGGTAAGACAAATGCTTGTCTGTGGGCAGTCAGGCTGATCCCCGCTGCTGATTTTACTCCCAAAAGCATTGCCCCAAAAGACAGGCTAGGAGCAAGTTTTCTGCAGCAAAAATAGCCAACCCCTCTAATCTTAAAAGAACTAGCTGTTAAGTAATCACACAGCATAAACTTACTATTTTCTAACACAGGGAGCATGTGTGTGAGCTCATGGGGGTATTTCTTGTGTACATGCATATGCATGTGTATAGAAGTGTGTGTGGGCATGTGTGCAAGCGTGGTGGTGAGAGGCAAGGGTTTTCTCCTCAAATGCAGTCTCTGCCATGCACACACAAAGTATGTGACTTAGAGCAACTCACTCAAGTTGTTGGGCCTCAGAACAAAGGTATAGATTGGGAGATCTCTGAGCACCTTCCCATGGAAACACTGTTAGGGCATTTCCCCCAGGGACCTACATCTGAGTGTGTAATAAACACACACAGCACAGCATCTGGCCTGTCATTCACTGCCTTCATGTGGGAGCTGTCCACAGCCCAGGAAGTCCATGAACCCATCTTATAGATTCTTGAGTGGATCACCTACTGCCCAAACCAAAGTCCCTAGGGCTCAGCAGACACAAGGGAGTCCCCTCCATTCCCTGGCCTCAAGTCCCCTCAATGTGTTGCTTCTTTCTTTGGCTTATGGTGCCTCTTCAATGCCTCTTCAATTCCCTTTGTGACACTAGGGGGTCTCCTGGCTTTTCAGGACCCCCAAGAAGAAATGACACCTTTTCATTTCAGCCACTGGAAAACTCATCACTAGAAAACAGCCTGAGCCTAAATGCCAGAGCACCAAAGACAAACTTTGGGTGGCAAGTGAGTTCCTTCTTTCTCTTCCTCTCCCCTGCCATCACCCCAAATCCCAGTGCCCTGAGGAATGACCTCACCACATGCTAGGGGTGGGGCACCAGTGTCCTCTGAGGGCTGCTTGGCAAGCAGCCACACTTTATTGCACTTCTTTAATCAATCCAAATACTCTCCCCTAATATGGGATTCCACCAAAGTTCGACTAGGAGTCAAGAACTACATCCACAAAAATGCATGCTTCTACCTGATGAATGAACTGACTTTTCTTCTCCTACACTAATATTATGGGATAGATTTTCTCACACAAGGTTCATAATTTTTCAAATGGACAATAAATAGGAAAAAGGGAAAGGAGAGTGACATAGGGCATTAAAGATGCCAATAGCTAAACCTTCCAAGTCACTTGAAGAGTGGTTGAGAAAAAACAATCATGAAGATGAACAGGAGTCAAGCCATAGAAAGGCAGATGCTTTTCACTTTGGGTCACAAGTGGGTTAGGTTGGGAGAGGCAGGAGTCTGTGTCACCCGTAGCACCTGTGGTCACCCAGCAACCTGAGGTCCAGTCTGTCCATCAGGACCCTGGGCAGGCTTCCCAAACCAACCCTTCATTCTCCCCTTCCTCCAGTTTCCTTCAGCCCTCTGTCACCCAGCACGGCTACATGGCTGATTCTGGACATTGTGACATATCTTTTCCGTGGCACTGTTCACAGAGAAGATACTTAACAAATGCAGTTTTCTAAGCAAGCTCTGTTTTTCATCTATGTTCACTGGACTCTCATCCTATTCCTTCTGATCTTATTTTGCCATTTCCTAAAGACACAAGGGGCTAAAAACATACCTCTTCAGAAGTTCTACATCTACTCCAAATGTGAAATGACTGCCTTCCCTACTCCCAGTAGTGGTTTTACTCTAAGCTCTCCCCCCATCACCCAATGGTTTTATTCTACGCTCCCAGAAGGGTGACTAACAGGTGTGGTTGGTAAGAAGGTGGGTACACCAGTGCAAGTTCAATGCACGAGGTGAGGCATCCAAAGCCAGTGCTCTGGGACAGTCTGGAGGGATATGGTGGGGAGGGAGGTGGGAGGGGGCGTTCAGGATGGGGGGACACATGTATACCTGTGGCTGGTTCATGATTATGTATGGCCAAAAAATCACAATGTTGTAACATAATTTTCCTCCAATTAAAATAAATCAATTAATTTAAAAAAAAGAAGAAGCTGGGTACACATCTGGTATCATAGCACACACAATGCAGCCTTCAACAATGCCTGGTCCACGCGGAATGTACAGCATACAATGCCCGCCTATTCTAGCCCCACCTCTTTCAGCCAGTGAGCCAATCAGAATAGGGCAAAGTGCCGATAGGAAATCTACATTCAGCTCCGGTTCTGACTCTCATAAGCTCAGTGCCAGTAGTCACAGCATGCCTGAGCTGGTGATGATCCGAGTCTAAGGAGCCCCAGAGGTGGGATATACTTGTCTTGTCTACAAAATGGGACAGGTGGTTCACACCCTGTGGAGGCCACAGCCTGGGCCTCCTCACTGTGCCCTCCCGGCCCATGGGTCCTCCCTGGACTCACCGCGCTGCTGCAGGGAATGTCCTTCACCTTGAGCCAGGCCAGGTCCAATGTGCCCTCGCCCCGGTAGCAAGACTGCAGCCGCTCCTTAATGCGGTCGTTGATCTGCTTCAGGATGAAGATGCATAAGGCCGACTCGTCCAGGGATTTCATCTTCCGCTTTTGGCCTTTGGAGAAGACGGTGAACAGGAGGTCGTCCTCCGGGCGGACCCCGAGGGTCCGGGCGAGCACAGCCCCGGCTTTGGACAGGTAGGCGGCCTGCAGCAGGCGGTACTCCACCCCACCACGCTCACAGCCGATGGGCACCTCCACATAGGAGTTGAAGGCCGTGTCCTCCTTGCAAAGCCTCACAAGCTTGGACGTATAAACCTGCTCCTTTGTGGTGGAGCCCGGGGGAGACACCATCTCAGGCTGGAGGGTCAAAAAGTAGACAAAGTTGCCGCTGCTAAAGCCGTAGACATAGTAGATATCAAAGTCAGGGATGACGGTGAAGGTGTCTGAAGGGATCTTGATCATCGAGGCCACAAACTCGTCGTGGAAGACATAGGCGAACATGCCGTCTGCCTCCGAGTTCTTGGTCAGTTTCCGGCTGGAGATGGTGGGGAAATACTCCGGCTTCCCATCCACAGCGGTGGCAATGAAGAGCTTGTCATCCAGGTTGTTGTAGGAGACGATCACCCCAAAGACAGAGCCACTCTCGTTGACCCCAGACAGGTAATGCTCCTTCTTGTGGAACGGCTCCCCCAGCTTGAAGAGGTCCTCCAGCCTCAGAAGCTTGCAGATGCCCTGGTACAGGCTCCCACAGGCGATTAGCCTGTTCTCCTTGTAGTCTATAAGCAGCATCTTGTTGACGTTGTTGGTGGGGGTCAGGGGCTCGTTGCAGGTCTGGACGATGCGGGGTGGGTAGCACTTGGGGTTGTCCTCGTCCGGCCCCGTCTGGTGGGTCACCAGGACCTTCAGGTCACTGGAGAGCTTGTAGATCCGATTGACGGCCCCCACGTAAATGTGTCCTGTCCTCTCGTCCACCACCAGGTGGTTGAAGCTCTCGGCAGGCTCCCCGCGGAACGTGACAAAAGACCGCTTCTGGGGTGGTGGGGGCGACTGCCGGGGGAGCAGAGTGGAGGAGCCCATCCCCACCATCAGGAGATGGGAGAGCAGGCAAGTCCAGTTCCAAGGCATGGCTTTCATTTCAGAGACGCGGCCTCGGGCCACGGGGCACTGGGCACAGCAGTGTCACGTGAGGAGTGCAGGCTCCCTGTGGGGGAAAGGAAAGAGGTGATGCTGATGACAAAGGTCAAGTCTTAGTTTCATCCCATAGCTTGTCTGGCTGGGCCCTCAAAGCATCCTGCACACGCTGAAATAGATCTGCAAGGGGGGAAGCTGGGGCTGGTCCCCAGCATACGTGTATGAGTCAGCCCGAGCTAGTGGTGGCAGGTGGGCATGTCAGTAGTAGTACTAGTAATAAGATTAGCGATGGTAGCAACAGTGATAATGGTGGTGGTAATGATGATGATAATGTTGATGTTGATGATAGATAGTCATTGCCCACAGAATGCCTGACTTTGCATCAGTCACTGTCCAGCACCTTCCAGGGACTCTCATTTCATTTGAACAAATTTTTAGTGCTGTGAATCTTCCACCTGCCCCACACCCTGCCCCCCACTCACACACACACCCAGCTCTTCTCTCTTCCTTTCTCTGTGCCCAGACACCCTTACATCTGCAGGTTACTTGCCCTTGGGCCGAGTTAGGTGCAGCCAACTGAGGATAATCAGCAGCAGCCCAGTGGGAGGGGGAGAGGCTTGGAAGAGGAGAAGTGGGCTGTGTGTACTCAGCCTCCCCATCCCCGGGGTCTGTGAATTGCTTCCTGTCTGCCTCCATTTGGTCCTGGGGGAGGTAACGGGCCTCTGTGTTTTGGCCCCTAAATACCACCCTGCCTCTGAGGAGGCACCTGGTCAACAGCTCCTCTATTAATCTTTGTGCCAATGACCTGATTTGCATGTACGATGTTTCCTACTAGGACCCTAACTAGCAGCCTCCTGATGTAAGTACCTCTGACATTCCCACTTTAGAGCTGAGGGCAGTTATCCAAGATGCACAGGTAAAAGCAGTAAAGGTCATCCAACATCCCTGGTGATCCTGTGGTTAAGAATCCACCTGCCAACAATGCAGGGGACATGGGTTTGATCCTCGGTCCAGGAAGATTCCACATGCCTCAGAGCAACTAAGCCCCTGCGCCACAACTAGTGAAGTTCTTGCACCTAGGGCCCATGCTTCTTCAAGACGGGAAATCACTTCAATGACTAGCCCATGGATTGCAACTGGAGGGTAGCCCCTGCTCACCAGCACTAGAGAAAGCCCATGCACACCAACAAAGACCCAGCATAGCCAAACATAAATAAATTTTTTGAAGTGCTATATATGTATTAAACTATACTTGAATAAACTGACTCATTTTTTTAAAAAAGCAAGAGATGCCGACTCATACACACATGGAAACATCATACATGCAAATCAGGTCATTGGCACAAAGGTTAATTGAGGTCCACAGTCTCGTATTGTCCTGCTAAACCATTTCAGTTTACCCCAGCCAGGCACAGATGGGAACGTCCACCACTGATGGCTTATACACAATCAACCAGTTCAAACAACGCTTCCTTGGGGACTGTCCATTACAGCTCTGGCCCCCTGGATCTGCACCTACTGCAAGGGAAGTTTCTCCTCTGCCCCACCCTGCCACACCCCAATCCCTGCAACAGGCCAAATTAACAGCCCAAATCCCAAATCCCTTCACTGCGTGTCAGCAACCCGGTCCTCTGGGTCCACTGCCCAGCTCTGAGCCTCGATGTCATTTTAATGAGGCAGATCTTGGCTGCCGCCCATAGTGAGGCCTCCTCTGAGAGGTTTTCATTAAAGGCAGAGAACAAATGCTTTAAGAAATGGTCAAGTAAATAAATAAATAAACAACTCCCTGTGGAACAATATAGTTTTCCATCCTAATGGTCTCATTCATTTCTATTCAAGATGCCTTTCGGCGTGCATTTCCAGAAAATGGTTTTTCATATTTCTTCCAGTTCAGGAGAAATCTGGGAAGGAATGGCCTATATCTTACTCAGGGACATTGCACCTGTGTGGAATTTCTTTCATTCTCCCCCCAGTCCCCGCCCAAATAACTCAGAAACAAGCTGATGGGAAGAGGTAGATGACTGAGCCAAAGAACCATCCCCCACCCCAAGCAGCTTGTTAATTAATGTTAGTCTCTCAGTAATGTCAGGCTCTTTGCAACCCCAAGGACTGTAGCCCACCAGGCTCCTCTGTGCATGGAATTCTCCAGGCAAGAACGCTGGAGTGGGTAGTCATTCTCTTGTTCAGGGTACCTTCCCGACCCAGGGATCGAACCTGGGCCTCCTACATTACAGGAAGATTCTTTACCATGTGAGCCACCAGGGAAATCCCAAGGAGAGAGAGTGCAAAGTCCTAAATGAAATCAACCCTGAATATTCATTGGAAGGACTGATACTGAAGCTGAAGCTCTGATACCTTGGCCACCTGATGTGAAGAGCCAACTCACTGGAAAAGATCCCGATGCTGGGAAAGATTGAGGACAGGGAGAGAAGGGGGCAACAGAGGATGAGACAGTTGGATGGGATCATTGACTCAATGGACACGAGTTTGAGCAAGTTCTGGGAGATGGTGAAGGACAGGGAAGCCTGGTGTGCAGCAGTCCACGGGGTCACAAAGAGTCAGACACAACTGAGCGAATGAACAACAAGAGGCGAAAGAAGAAAGCAAAACAGAGACTTGACATTGTCAGCAAAAAGTCCCAGTGAAAACCACAAATCCTCTCAAAAAAAAAACGTCAGAGGAGGGGAACTGGCAGATAGCACACCCAGGACCAACAGCAGTCCTGTGAGCAGATGACCTTCATCTCTTCCCCCACAAGGCAAACATGCGCTCGGGGCACATTCCAAATGAGCAAGATACTGTGGATCCAAGGATGGCCGAGGCTGGACCAGGCCCTGGAAGAACCGCCAACCCCAGTTACTCAGATGATGAAATGTTAGATGATGGACTGCAAGAGCGCAGATGAGTACAGCTGACCTCTAACCTGGGGCAAGGGGAACGAGGAAAAGGCTGCAGGATGCCTTGGAGAGGCCGGGGCATTTGGGCTGAGCCTTGAACTTTGAGAGGATGTGAAGAGCTGGAAAGGAAGGGCCTCCTTGGGGAGGGGTCCTTGGATCCACAGCAAGGGCACCCTCAGGGTGCATGCCAGGAGGGGTCTGTCTGGAAAACACGGTTCGTGAGTCAGAAGGACATAGGGTGAGAAAGGGAGACAGGACCTTGTCAAGGTGTCCCTGGGAGGTTGAGACTAAAATACACGGTATCGAAGAAAGAAAGTTGGGAAGAGCTTGGGTCCTACTCCCAGAAAGGACCTCCATGCTCCTGTCAGTTTAGCCTTTGCTGAAAGAACTGAATTTGGAACTGAGGCCTGTGAGAACTCCACGGGAGCGGGGAGTACCTTGTTCACTGGTGTGTCCACCGTGCTAGACCCACACCTGACATGGAATGGAGACTCAAGACCTCTTTTCTGGCTGGTAGGAAGAGAGCTGGAGGTGAGGAGGAGCATTAGCATCTGTGTATCACTTACAGGACCCCAGGCCCCAGCCAAAAGCTTGCACACTCATGACCTCACTCATCAGAGAAATGTTGGCTGGGGTCAGAAGTGTTTGATCTGCTTTGCAGGTGAGGAAGCCAGCTCAGCAAGAGCACATGGCTCATGGCTCATAAGCTGGCAGAGCTGAGGCTGAAACCCAGCGATGGTGGTGGTGGTGGTCTAGTCACTAAGTTGTGTCTGACTCTTGCGACCCACCAGGCTCCTCGGTCCATGAGATTTTCTAAGCAAGAATACTGGACTGGAGTGCCATTTCCTTTTCCAGGGGATCTGCCCAACTCAGGGATCGAACCTGGGTTTCCTGCACTACAGGCAGATTCTTTACCGACTGGGCTACCAGGGAAGCTCAGGTGAAGCCCAGCATTGCAGTACTACAAAAGCCATCCTCTTCCTAGGAAAGCACAATTCCAGAGCCCCCAGAAGTCAATTTTATTTTATTTAATTATTTATTTTTAAATTTTGATTCTTTCCAGTGAAAGCTCTTATCAAATTTGTTACACTGCTTCTGTTTTATGCTTTGGTTTTTTTGGTCACGTGGCATGTGAGATCTTAGCCCCCCAAATAGGGATCGAACTCACACCTCCTGCATTGGAAGGTGAAGTCTTAACCACTAGACCACTAGAGAAGTCCTGGAAGTCCATTTGAATCCATGTTAAGTTCCCTCACACAGAAATCCCAATATATCACCCAGCAATACCTCCCCTAGTTCTGTAGGAGGAGAGCAAAAGCCCCTGGCATCCCCGGGGCATAACCTCACAGGTAACACCCATCAGGCAGGCACAGGCATTTATTTCTAAAAGCAATAACGCCTGGAAAGTACCTGGCACACAGTCTCTCCCAGCCTCAAGTAAGTGTTTCTTATGTATGAGTTGTTGTGGATGTCATTGTTGTTGTTGCTGACAAGACTTCAACAAGATTAGAAGAACGAGGATCAAAAAATACCCAAAGGTACCATCTCTGTAAGTGATGAGGGGTCAGGATGGTTCATCATGAATTGCCTGTGCACATCTAAGTAACAGAGAAGAATCTCAGAGTTTATCTGAAAGAGATGATCCACTTGGACAATTCCAATTGCTGATTTTACAGTCAAGAAAGCTGTGACCCACAGACATTAAATGACTTGCCGGAGGTCATACAATGAGCTCACAGTGGGGATGGGGTCAAGCTCAAGTCCCTGGACTCACAATCCAGGGCTCTTCTCACCACCCGTGGCCTGTCTCCCGACTTTACCTGAACCCACCTCAGCCTTTGTCTGGAGGAGCCTGCTGTATGGGCGCCATGTGATCTGCTGGCTACTGCAGCTCTGAGGACACTGCTGCCAACAGCCAAATTCCAGCAGGGTTGGTAATCCTCATTCCAGACAGGCAGGTGCGGGTCAGGCCTCAGCCACCAGCCTTCTGGAGGAAACTGTCAACAGTCCCCGTATTGGAACCTGCCGAGCACCAGGAAAGCATGCCTGCCACAGCCCTGCCTTACTGTACCCACTCACGGGCCCGCAAGCCAATCAACAGCTCTCTGGTTTGCAAGAGGCGAGACGAGGAAGCCTGTAATTATAAATTTACTGAGCAGAAAGGTGCCAGGCCTCATTCCCCATCTTCTATTAGGCACTGAAATGAGACACAGTTATGCATCTCAAACACTCGTCACCCTCATCTGGGGATGGTGAAATTACTGCGCCTGGAGAGGGGGGAACCCACAGAAAACAATAACGTGTGATAGGAATAACCAGCCTCTCATTTCACACACCACGAAAGAGACTGATTAGAAAACAAATAAGAGAAATGGAAGAGAATGGGGGAGGTAGGGATGTGAACTCCAGGGATGTGGAGGGCTCCAGCTTGCCCCATCAGAGACCCCACCGGGCACCACCCAGGGTGAACCAACTGCTGCCCTCCCAGCCCAGTGCCAGACCCACAGGTGGGCAAAGTTGCCCACCCTTCCCCCTGCCCCCCAAGGCTGCCTGAGGCTGTCCGTCCTGGCAAAGCTGGATTTAATCCTGGTAAGTGAGGATGTGATTTAGGAAACCCCCATTGAGATTCCAGGTCCCATCCACCATTTCCCTCTCGGTCATCACTCAGTTGATTTGAAAAACCAAGCATTGGAGGTGGCATTCAGCCCAGTTCTGATGCTTTAAGGCAAATAATGAAGCCAAGTGACCCCCAAATGGCCCTGAAGAGCTCAGGAACTAGGAAGAATGGGAAAGGCTCAGGAAGGTGGGACTGAAAGACTCTGAATCAAACCCAAACACGCTGCTGTTTTCTCCTCTTTGAAATCAAATTTTAATTCTAAATCATCTCAGGAGAGGTGGGACTCATTTTTAGAAGCTGATCATCATTTTGATTAAAGAAATTGGGGCTTTGTTTTATGTGGCACGTGGTGAAGAGCTCAAACTAATTTTCATGAAATAGCATCATCTCAGATTCTTGAGTGGCAGAGAAGAAAGTTATTATAGAGTAGTTTAAAAATAGCAATTACTGCACAAAATTACTTCAGAGTTTACAAAGTGTTTTCATATATATTACCTTGTTCTGACTGTACTGTGCATGGCAATCCTGTTAGGCAGAAGTATTTGTAAGCAGGCAACCTTTACAATAAGGAAACAGACGCATGAGTAGTTAGAGGTCCTGGCTGGGGTCACACCCAGTCATATTGGGACTGGGACATCTCTTCAGGTCTCCCTCGGTGGCACACGGTACCTTCCCTGACCCTCTGAACAGAATCCTCTTGTCCTCAGGACCTTTGCTATGGAATAATAGGATATCCAGAAAATGTCTTCTGGGATGGAATTTCAAAAGACAAATCACAATCCGTCTTGAGTCTAGAAATCAACTGAGCAGACCACATGTGCTCTTTTTAATGAAATAAAATAGAGGAGAGAAATAAAAAGCATGACACATTTAGGAAGGATAAAACTTCTGTGAGACTTATGCTTCAGCCACGTAAGTGCATGCATGAGTGTGAAGTAAGTCTGCTTCCTATGGTCAGTCACTATCATGGTAACTATGATGTGTCCACTTGACTGGGCCACGGTGCCCAGATATGTGCTCAAACGTTACCCTGGATGTTTCTGAGATGGTGTTTTTGGATGTCACTACCATTTGAATCAGTGGACTTTGAGTGAGGCAGACTTCCCCTTATAATATGGGTGTGCAGCCACCCAGTCAGTTGAAGATTGACTCAAACAAAAGTTTGACCTCCCTAAGGGAGAGGGAATTCTACAGCCGATGCCTTTGGACTTGAACTACGACATGGGCTTTCCTCTGAGTCTCAAGTCTGCAGTCCTATTCTGCTGATTTTGGACTTGGAGCCTCCATAATTGCATGGCCTAATTCCTTAAAATAAATCCCTCTGTCTCTCTTTCTCCACACACACATACACACACACACACACACACACACACACACACACACACACACACAGCTTCTGCTTCTCTGGAAAACCCTGATTAATACAGTTGTGATCAAAAAACAAAAATTGGAAGGCGCTGTTAGAAACAGTAGACACCTGTTGTTTTTGCTACTATTCATTTATCCTCTAGAGATCCACCCCT